CAGCACCCGGCCCTTCGCAGACCCGGGAAGCAGCAAGCATGCGCCCAGGGCTGCCCGCACGCTCTCCACCGGGCACCGCAGAGGAGGGGACAGCCCCTCGGCCAACCGCACGGAATTTATACACAGCCGCGGCGTCTACGCCCCAAACCGCTCAAAGAGGTTAATGACGGGCGATGGGGCCAGGGACCCCTCCGCCTTCTGCTTCTGTCCTTCACGCGTGTAAAATTTCGGTGCAAAAAAGAAACACAGGCTGTGTTTACAGACAAACAAAAATCAGTGAGGACTGTTTTCATTCAGGAAAAAACAACACCTGGGGTGAGTCAAGGAAGGTATGCAAACTCAAAGACCGCCCCCCGCGCTCTGAAGGTCGACACCGATGTGCAGGAAGACAGAGCCTGTCACCAGCGACGCAGTGAGAGAGTGACCGCAGGCCCTGGGACCCACCAGCCACCCGACGGCTACCCGCCAGAGGAGGAGGGAGAACGCGGCAGACCGGCAACCACAGGCCTGGCTGCGGGGCGCGCCCTGCGGCTGTGGACAGCCAGGTGTGAAAACCAGACGGAGGGGGCGTGGCCCGGGGGATCCGGGTCAGAATTACTCATTTGTTTCCTTCACACAAATCTACCTGGAGAGGAGTACGAAAATTGGGTCCCCCACCCCCAGGCGTCCTGATCATCAGAAGGAAGGACACTCAGGGTTGGGGCTCTCCACTGACCGCTGCCTCTGGGTGGCTCGGAGACTGGGAGACGTGGCAAGGAGCAGGGATGCACCTGGAATCCAAGGTCCAGGGACACATCTGGATCCAGCCTGACCTCTTCTCCTCCCCTAAAACACGTAACCCCCCCCCCCCCCCGAATGCCTACAGAATGAAGCACAAGCATTATCTGGTACAGGGGGCTCCACACCCCCCATATCACCATCCTCTATCACCCCAGCCTCTGATCGGACCCCATCTATGTATGCCCTCGCGCACCCCGGTCCTTGCCCGCGCGGTACCCCCAACCTGACAGCCCCTCCCTCATCAGGTGGGTTTCTGTGCTTCCTGCCCGAATCAGGATCCACCCTGCCTCAACCCTGTTCGCCGTTCCCTGATCCGCCGGGGGGCCCTTCTCTTCGGGGCTCGAGACAAGTAAGTCCTGCGCTGTGACTCTTCACTCCGTGCCTTCTTCAAGTCAAAGACCCGTGTTCTTGGGAAGCCCAGCACCCAGCATCGCCCCTAAGCACACAGGAGGCGGCAAAGACACGCTTCGTGAATATCGAGTACAAACGCTCTGTGGCAGCTCTTTCATTCTGGGCCCCAGGGGCTCTGTCCACCCTGCCTACCCTCCTCGGTCAGTGCCAGTCACGCCCCTTCCCGACAGCAGCCCGGCAGTGCCCCTCACCACCACGTTCAATAAGGTCCGGGGTGGGCCGTCGACGGGCTGGCCATCCTCTGTCACGGGCCGTCCCGGCTTCTCCTGCAGAGCTCGGTGAGCCGGGGACAGACGGGGCATTCTCTGACGGCGGTCATGCACCGCGTGGGTGAGAAAGGGCAGACGGAGGCAGGCGCACCAAGGAGCCCACGTGGTTGTGCAAGATGGCCCTCGGAGGAGCGCTGATATCGAAAACCCGCGCTGAAGCAACAGCAAGGACACGGAATCAAAGAAGCGGGGCCAGGGCGCGGGCTGGCCGCGTGGGTGGCACCCCTTCAGGTTCTCAGCCCGGGCCGAGGTCTGCTCTCATTCACTCGTGCATTTCCTCAAGTAGCGGACTGTGTCCCGGGGGCCAGGGTCCTTTCTCTCGCGGCGTTTATATCCGATGCGGACAATAAGAAGAAACCGGAACACGAGTAAACGAGGCCACTGTGGATGGGAGAAAGCCCAGTGAAGCCCAGGGTCTGGGGCGACGAAGTACAGTGACCCAGGGCCCCGGGTCGCTTCGCGGGAAAGGTCTGCCAGCACGGCCTCCGGGCTGGTTCCCCAGGGACGTGACAGCCTTCCACCTGACGTTGCGAGCAGAGCTCCAGGCCTGAGGCAGGGCCCGGACCCCACTCGACGGTGGGCAGGACGGAACCACCCGGTTCTCATTTCGTTCCGGGCTCCTTCCCATCTCCCTGCAAACCTACCGTCTCAAACCTCCCTCCTTTCCAATTCGTTTACTCAGTTTCCAGACCACGGACGCATAACCGAACAGAAAACCATCTTCAGAATGCAAGGGGGTGGGACATGACTCGGTGGCCGGGGTGGGTCGTGGCGGCCGCGCTGTGACAGCCGGAGGGCCGGCTCACCCGAGGCCGAGACTGCAGAATACCACTGCTCAGTGATGCGAGCGGCGGGAGAAAGGAATCCCGGTTTTCAGGACTCCTCTGCATGCTGGGACAAAGCAGCCCGGGGTTTCTGGAGGTTTCGCCCACGTTCAGATCCGCCCGCTCTCAAGATGGTGACGGATTCAGCCCAGGGCCCGGGCGAGGGAAACCCACAAGCCTCCGAGCAGACCTTGCTGTGCCAGCCTTCCCACCCAGGGGCACAAGAGACCCCCCCCCGCATCGCTCCCACAAACAAATCCAGGGACGGCCCCCCGAAAACCTGTGCTGTCAGAGAAGTCCCCCAAGCGGGGCAGAAAGAGCTTCGCTTAAGTCTGAAAAGGCCTGACATGAAGGACCGGGATGAACAAGCCGCCTCCTCGGTCTTTATTTTTCCACAGCTGGGAAGGGCCTCTCTCGCTGTGTTGTTTTTCACCTCCGCCCACTCGGGGCGGGGGGTGGGGGAGGGGGGTGTTTTTTAGGCGGCAATGAAGGAACAATCAACACTATTCATGTGCCGTGAGAGCACCCGATTCTGGAACCCGCGGCGAATCCCAGCTTGAGGCCCCGCGAGAGAGGGACACGCGCCCCTGCCCGGTGCTCGAGGTCCGTGGAGGGGAGAGGGCCTCGAGGGCTCGACGCAGCTCCGGGGAGGATTCCAGGCCGGGCCAGCGAGGGGGCAGATGCCCTGAAGGGACAGGTGTCCCACTGCTGTGACGGCCATGCCCAGGGCCCACGTGCCGTCCCCCTGCTGCCTCGGGCCCTCCCCAGCCACGACCATCCCTCGTCCTCCCCGCGGAAGCTGCCACCACCAGCGCCCCCAGCCTCCGAGCTGCCAAGATCGACATCTTCGGTTCCCGTCCCTTCTTCTGGACGAGGTTTGGCTCTCACTGTGCGGCACGCGCCTGGCATTTTACATTCCTGGGGGCGTCGTCAGGCTGCAACGCCCGCTCCCCGCCGCGGTGGCTGTGCCCCGCGGACTGGGTATCTCCGGCTCCCAAGAGCCGTGTGCGCCACGGACGGACCTCAGCACACACACCCGGCTCGGCCGTTCCCGGAGGCGCTCACACAGCATGGCAGGTGCCGGGTCGGGCGGCAGAAATCCTAGGGCCGCTGAGACTCACTTCGTACACAAGTCAGGAGGCGAGAAGGCTGTGTGGAGCCTGACGGAGCAAGGAAGGAACACCAAGAGGCTTCCAGTGGAAAATCACAAGGGTTTCCAGAGGAACAGGCCCGGGGATGTGTCCTACTGGGAAGATGGGGTGGCGGGGGGGAGGTGAACGAAGCAGGCTTTCTCCATCGAGAGGACGTCCCCCACGGAAACGAGGCGGACGCCAAGAGAAGGACGTTATCGAGTTCCTCCAAGTCAGCTTCTCCAAGACAGGCCACCGGGAGCAGATGAACTGTTGAGAGCGGGTGGGAACCCGGGCCGGGGAGGCCGTGTTCGCTCAGCAGTGCAGCGAATGCTTTCCCCCCTCACCCGGCGGCCCGGGTGTATCCTGTAGTGTGACACCAACCCCTCCCCCTTTCCTCTTCTCAGATCGCAGTTCCCAGAGGCCCTCCTCAATCCCTACTCACACACACACACACACACACACACACACACACAGGAGGCAGAGGAAGACGCCTCGATCAAGTTAGACTTCGGGGCGGCACAGATCCTGCAGGGAACCTGATGAAACCTGCACCTTCTCCCAAGAGATCGGAGCAGAGGGGGCTGAAGCGCGAGCCTCCCTGCGCCCCCACACCCACCGGGCACCCGGGAGACCCGCCTGAGGCCTCCAAGGAGCTCGCAAGCCCAGCGGGAAGCCGCCTGAACGGGGCTCTCCACGCTGGACCCTGAGCCGTCTGGGGGTCCCTACACAAACGCCCATCTCCAGGCGCGCGTGCGTGTATTTCGGGGAGCGGAGGTGAGCCCAGATGCCGGTCTGGCGATTCACTGAACCCACGCCCGGGTGTGCGGGGCGGGGGCGGGGGGAAAGGCGGCAAGACTGGACTTGGCCCCCCTCCGGCCCCTGCCGGGCACTTACCATCATGAGCTCCTTCTGGAAGGACTTTCGCTCTTTGTTCTCCGTGTTGTTACAATCCTCCTTGAGCTTTTCCAGAACGGACGCCACCCGCTCGGGCTCACTGTCCAGCTCGGCCCGGCAGAAAAAGGTGAGCGGCAGGTTGCCGTAGCCCAAGGCATCGGCGAAAGAGCGCCAGCTGCTGACGTTCTCCATGAGCAAGGTCCTGACCGAGGCGTAGATGTAGGTGAGGAACTTACAGGGTCGCAGGATCTGCTCCAGCAGCACCGAGGTGCTCAGCTCGGGCCCCGAGAGGAGGCTCGGCCTGGCCCTGCCCACCACCAGCACGTTCTTGGCGTGCACGAGGCCGACCTTGCCCTGGTGGTAGCCGATGTACCACTCCTTGGTCCACAGCTGCCCCTTCAGCCGGATCTTCTCCTCGCTGAGCAGCGCGACGCTGTCCCCCTTCTTGTACTCCAGCAGGTAGTGGTTCTTGCTCTGCCGCACCACGGTCTTGAGCAGCTTGCCGAACTTGAGGCTGGACACCGGGCGGTCCTGAAAAGTCGGGTATTTGGTGGTGGCAGCAAACGGGGACAGGATGATTTTCCCGACCTCGTTCTTCTTGAGAAACCGCCTTTGCCCGGAGGGCTTGATGGCACTTTTGGGGGGCGGCTGGGGAGTCTGCACGCAAAACTGCGTCAGGATGGCCTCCTGGTCGCCCTTCACCTGAACCCGCAGGGTGAAGTCGGACAGCTCGCCGGGGTTCTGGCAGGTGATGGGGAAGATGAGGCGGCTCACCTTGCCCAGCTTCATCTGGAACCCCCTCACCACCTTGGCCTGCTCACTGGCCTTGACCTCGTAGTTGGTCATGTTGGAAAACATGCAGACGTGGAGATCCTGGGGCCTGGACAAGACGAACTGGTGCTTACCCCAGAGCTGCAGGGCCACGGGGGCAGGGCTGGGGGCCTGGCGGGTGACCTCGCTGACCAGCAGCGTCTTCGGGGCACAGTCGTGCCCAAAAATGGTCACCACGGTCTTGAAGGATGGGTGAATGTGTTTGGGCCCATAGAGGCCCACGGTGATCTTCTTGTGGATGAAGTCCCACACCGTGGAAGGGTAGAGAATGTTGGGGCCGTGGGCCACAACGGCCAGGTACATACAGGGCTCTAGGTTGTCCAGCTGCACCTGGACCGTGTCCCCATAGCTGTAGGTGAGTGGGATGGGGACATAGGGTCCCTCCTTCAAGTCACTCCTCAGGCACTGGAGACCCACCGTGCTTTTGCTAAAGATGTCGTTTTTCACCTCGGCCGACACTTTCATCTCCACGATGATGAAGGTTTTCACCTCCAGGGTGCTCACCTTCACCTCCAGCACCGGGCTGACGCTGCTGCACCTGTCGCTGTTGAGCTCCAACGGGGGGTCCAGCAGGGCTTTCATGGAGATCTGCTGCGTCTCCCCCGGGGCCACGTGGCCCTCGGGCACGTGGATGCTGATGCCGCTGTCGGGCAGCTGCACGGCGCCCCCGGAGCTGTCCAGCTTGCACGCGATGCTCGTCTCCACCGCCTGGGTCTGGCCCCACCCGGGGCTCTGGCCCAGCAGGTCCAGATCGTGGCAAGACCGGGCCAGCTTCCGGTGGCTCAGCCAGGCGGCACGGAAGTCCTCCCGGCTCTGGAACTGCTCCGGGGCCGGGGATTTCAGGCCCGTGAAGAAGCCCGAGGAGTCGGGGGCGTCGGACTTGGCCTGGAGGACGGAGAGCTCCGACAGGCTGTAGGAGCGCTTGCTTCTGAAGAAGGGGTTGTCCCGCTTGCCCGGCGCCTCGGCCTGGAGGCGGCCTGCGGCCGGCAGCTCGTCAAAGATGTTGCCGACGCTGTTGGTGGTCGCGGAGCTGGATTCGGTGAACGACGACGTGCCCGTATCAAAAAGGAGCAAATCCACGGTGCTTCTGGGGGTCAGCTCGTCCAAGCTGGGCATCGCCGGCGCGTTCCCGTTCAGAAACGGGTTTGTCTGGGCCCCGTTCCAGAAGGGGTTATTGCTGTAGGTCTTGCTCGGTCCCTTGTCCTCTGTCCACCCCCCGAGCAGGTCTAACTCCTTGGCCACCTCGTCTGGGCTGTCTGGAAGATGGTCGATCACCCCGCTGTCGCTCAGGGTGGAGTCCCGGTAGTTCAAGGGCTGCA